GGACTCATCCAAGCAGTCACTGCAGGGTCAGCAATGACTGAGCGCAGACAAAAAAAAAAAAGGCAGTCTTAAATGTTAATACAAACAAGTGAAACGTATTTATTATATATGGTGCAAATAAATCTCTAATGTTCAATGAAAATAGTGAAAATGATGGAGGAGTTAGATCTATTTTTTTAAAAGATCAGTATAAATGTCATACAACTGAAGCCAAGTACAAAGTCCTAGCCTAACATAATGTGCAAATATCTAAGTGCAATATCTTCCTCTGGTCATCTATGGGCTAATAGGTGTCGCCAGCTCTTTTGCTTTTAAGTAGTAAAATACTGGCACTTCATATGTTGCTACTCTAAATATTTAGAGGAAAAATTAGCTAAAATCCGAGCTGTTCTAGTTTTTCTTCTTGAAGGTATTTCTTAATGAATCAGTTATATAGAAGATAAGAGCAATTGGAGTTCAGCTTGCTTAACTTTGGGGCTTATTCCCATATTATAGGACTTCCAGCAAAAGTTCTGTTCCTTATTTGTCTTCTTTTCAACCCCGTTTTAGGTATATTTACACTGCACAGCAACAATTGGCACTTGCCTTCATGTGCCTAGTGGCGGACTTCCCTGTAAATCATGTCCTGGAAAAACATTTGGTAGGTTCTCCAATGAAAGTTGGAGAGATGCTACCCATTAATAGAATGGTTGCTAATATATTGTGAGGTAATTTGTCTTGTCCCATCTCCAGGCAAAATCATTAAAATATTAAGAGGGCAACCAGCTCTCTTTAAAGTTCCTACTTGATACCTGTTTATTAAAAGAATAGTTAACTAATATTTCTTACGATGCTTCAGGTCAGCATTCTGAAATTTATGCTAATCATCATGGTTATGTAGTAGCTGGACCAATCTCTATCCTTCAGCCTGAGCAAATTAAGGAGCTGGACACCAAAAGAAATAAGGTAGGTTTGGGGGCTGAAAAAGATTATAAGAATTGATGTGAATGCTAAATGGAATCAAGACTGCTAGATTATCATCATTGTTGTAATTAGTACAATAATGCGGCAGCAATTATAGATGCATTTAAGTATTCTTAATTCTACACATGACTGTGGGGCAATCTTATTACTAAGGAGAGGCATACCATTAATAATAAGCCATGATTTGGGGGCTGAATAAATCATATCAGTAGAAAATTCAAAATTTGGAGGGAATCCAAAATATGTCAAAATCCCACCTCAAAAGCTTTCAAGAAACCATATTAAGTTCTTTCCCTGTGTCCAAAGAAATTAAAATCGATGCATTCTGAGTTAGAGCAATGACATCCGTTAAAAAACTGATATTGTCCGAAACCTCAGGATCCTTAGCTGGAAGAACCCCCTGAAATCTATGGCCAAAGTAATTTTTAACATTTTAGCTTCTACATTTATCAAGGAAATAGGTAAATAATTAGACCACAATGTGGAACCCTTACCCTATTCAGGAATAATTGCAATATTTGCCCCATTAAAACTAGACTAAATTAAAATAAAACCAAAAGGCAGGAATTTATTTGAAACAGTTTTACTATATAATTCTAGTAAAACAAGAGATAAAAAACCAGTGTACTTTTTACACCAGTCCACTAAAAAATTATCAGGCCAGGTATCATCCTTGCTTCTATAGATTTAATGGTTGTGCCAATTTCATCAAGCAACAAAAGTGATATAAAATTAGTAACTTTTACCCAATGCTTGTGTATTTAAATGCTTATCAAATAAAGCACTTAACTTCTGAAGAGGATGGCCTAAAAGTATAACACTGTTGGTATACTTTGGGGTATCAGAGAATGAGGTATCAGGGAGTAATCTAGTCAAAGCTATTCGTACTGCAAATGACTTGGCATTCTGTACAACTCTTACTTCATGTGGCAGAGGTAGCACCCTCTTTATATCCCCAGATCACTTTTGCAACTTTGTTGTACTACTCAGCCACTGTCCCTACAGCTACCTCAGGAGCTTCCCACAGGAAAATGGAGGGTGGGGGCAGAGGATATCTTGCTTAGAGCTTACTTTAAAATGAATGCCAGCCCTGGCAAAGTTTTTAAGCCCGTAGCTTATAAGCAGCATTTGAAGGCCAGCACTTCTGTTAAAACAGAAGTCTGCTTAATTGACAGTTTGCAGCTCCTCTCAATCTGTAGAGCCATACATTAATCACTGAACTTGGGAAAATAAAACTTGCACAAGGACAAATGTGTGTGGTACATTCATTTATTTACCTTACAAGCATTAGCATTTATAATGAACTAACTGTATTTTCTTTTTTTCTTACAGATGTAACCACACCATTCTACTTATCATGGCCAGCTTTACTTGGGATTATTAAAATATGTTTCATGCTAACTTCCTAATAATAAAAGTTCCATGAATTAAAAACAGAAGATTCAAATTTTTGAGTTGGCATATTTGAGTTTTAAAATCTGCTACTAAAAGGTTTTCAAGAGTACATTTAGCTTTCAAAAAAAGTATAATTTTTCATTGAACTATTGAGATTACATAAATAGATATATTTCATTGCACACATATGGTAAAATCTAATAATTAGATTTGGGTGTGTAAAAACTTGCTGGGTGTTAAAATACTTATTTGTCTAGGGTAACCCAGTTAGCCTGTTACATAATCCATCATTTCAGTTATGAGAATACCAGTCTATAATTCTATGAAAGTAGAAGTAACCAAAATTTCACATATTGCATAACAAATGTAATTGCTTATAAAAATAAGATTATTTTGAAACCAATTTGAAACTACTAGACATTATGGAGAATCACCAATGTTAACATGTAGAAGTTCTGCACTAATTCATGTCTCTGATATTGCTTATTAACGCAGTGTAATATTATTCTATTTAGGAAGTAACTAGTTATCAAGCAAATTTGTTTTATATACCTTACCAGGTATACTTAGAGGCCAAACTAGTTTACAGAATAAAATCTTAATATAATGAAAATCAACCATTTGGGGACAGTTTTAATACAAGTGCTGTAAGTAGTCATGCCTGTTGTTTGATATATTAGGGATGACATCACATAGAAAGCAATCTATTCAAAACTGACAAAGAACACCCCACCCCAGGAAATTTACATCTTTATTTGCCAAACATTCCAATCTCAAAACCTGTTTCTTCTATCACAGGACTTTAATAACCTCTTCTTAACCTGTCTTCTTTGTCGAGGAGAGTCTGCCTTAAACTCAAAGAAGCATCTTCAAATTTAGGATTTAACTCTAACACCTTCCTGAAATCCTTCAAGGCCTCATCAAAGAATCCTGCATATGAGAGAGAAACAAGGGATGCTTTTATTTTATTTTTTATATAAAAAGAGTAAAACAAATTCTTTCCATTATTAAACTATTCAGGCTAAAATACTCTACACTTACTCTGAAGTAGGTATTAAGCAGAGCTCAACTTTTGATTAAACATTGCAATGAACTAAGCACTTTTCTCTGTCTCCAACAATTTTGCTGAAAAACAGACCAGGTTATTGAAAGAGTAGAGTAGAAAGATGTGCATGCTTTTCTAACACTTAAATGAAAAGAATGGTTAAATCTACATTTCACATTTCTTTTAACGTAGATTATTATCTTAATCTCTTCATGACTGTGCATGCATGGAAGAAGTTTTACATGTGCAAAGTCAAAGAATAAACAGGTAGAAATTCTTTTATTGTTGTAATGTAGTGTTTTTTATTTCCAAATCAAGGCCAACAGGAGCATAATACTTCTATTGGACTTGATTTGAATGAATGAATGAATTTGAATGAAAGTCAGTTTGGCGTAGTGGTGAAGGCTCCAGGCTTGAAACCAGGAGACTGTGAGTTCTAGTCCCGCCTTAGGCATGAAAGCCGGCTGGGTGACTTTGGGCCAATCACTCTCTCTCAGCCCAATTCACCTCACAGGGTTGTTGTTGTTGTGGGGAACATAGGAGGAAGGAGTATTAGGTATGTTCACTGCCTTGAGTTAGTTATAAAAATAATAAAAGAGGGATTAAAAAAATCTTAAATAAAAATAAATATGTACATAACTGCCTGATAACCTGTATACAACTTTCCTGTAATGCAGACAACTAAACAAAGATCTTTAGGAACTCACCATGAATTTGTCTGCCAAGCAACAGTTTTCTCGAGCACATCTACAATCTACAGGAGATTCCAAAGAAACTTACTGGCATGACAGGTAGTAGCTGAAAGCTGCTACTAGCTGCAAACAAGTTCTTTGGTTTGAAGGAATTACCTAAACAATGGTCATTCTCTAACCAACGTTATTAATGCCAAATCATTCTGTGAATGAAGAGGCTTGTTGCAGGTTCCATCCACTCGAATGTCATCTGACGGGACCCTCTGCTGCTGCACCCACCCTCTGGAAGAGTCCCCTGGAGGTCAGGCTAGCCCCAACCTTAACAGCCTTCCGGAAGGGCCTGAAGACCTTCCTGGCTTGGCCATCTGGCCTGGGGAATCAGTGGTGTGGAGCCCATACAATGGCTGTACTGTTCTTGAATTACTGTGCTCTCCCAGTACTGTACTGTATGATGTTTAATTCTTTTAACATGTTGTATTGTTTGTATGGTTGCTTGCTTGCTCGCTTGATTGACTGATTAATTGGTTTTTTGGTGCTGTTTATGTTTTAATGGTAAGCCACCCAGAGTCACGAATGTGAGATGGGTGACTATATAAATTGAATAAATAAATTAATTAAACATTCCCCATTAAGAGAATTAGTTATCTCAGCTATGAAATTTAGTATTTCCTTTTTTAAAACCTCTTTTTCAAATAAAAAATTGCACATCAATTTTTCCTTGGAACAGTCTATTTATTAATCAAGTTGATCTGATTCATTAATAAATTCATTACATTTACATAATACTAGAGAGTTCAGTGGAAAATAATCATTTATTTCCACAGGCAAACAAGTTTATGGATAGGATTACTTAGGCTAGAATCTAATACACTTTTATCAAGATTTAAGTGTCATTGGCCTAGATACTATAAGTAACCATTCACTGCACTGCTTTCTTGTCTGTTGGCTCATACAATAAGTAGTGAGAAATGATTTAATTCATAGACCGAAAAGGAGAAGCAATGTGTGTGTACATGTGTGAATAATTTTACATGAATTTTAGGATTAGGATAATATCCAAATATTGTAATTTCCATATAATATTGTGCAGCTTACGAAAGAGCAGGAAGTAAATGAAGTTAATCATGATTGCAGTATAATAGTATTAAATCTTTCCATTAGGTAATTTCTACCTTTCACTTATTTTTAAATTAATTGCTATAATCTCTCTTCAAAGGAATAAACATTTACTGTGCAAACATACTCTTTTAAACCTTGGGCTTTTGTGTTCTTGGACCAAAAGCAGTACATTAAGTAGATGTATTTCAATAAAGCAGCACAATAAAAATAGGGGGCATGTCATGTTCCCCCTCCTTTACATACAATCACATGATGCTACAGCAGTTTTTACTACTTACTATACTATATTCTGTGGAACTCTCATACTTTCTAAGGAAATGATTTTTTTTAGATTTTTTTTTAATCCCACCTTTATTATTTTTATAAATAACTCAAGGCGGCAAACATACCTAATATTCCTTCCTCCTCCTATTTTCCCCACAACAGCAATCCTGTGAGGTTAGTTGGGCTGAGAGAAAGTGACTGGCCCAAAGTCACCCAGCCAGCTTTCATGCCTAAGGTGAGACTAGAACTCACAGTCTCCTGCTTTGTAGCCTGGTGCCTTAACCACTAGACCAAACTGGCTTTCAACTGATAAATGGCAACAGGATTTCTAAAAAGATGGATTACTCAATACTCTTAATGCACATTCACAGAGCAGGATTTGGTCAATATTAATGTGCATTCACACAGGTCAAAAACAAAGCCCAAATACAAAGGATATCTAGTATGCAGTAGATCATCTTCAGTGTTACTAACATACACTATGACTAAAATCATCTGGGAAACTCCAACAAGGGTACCACTAATTGCAAACTATCATCGTGGAACAGATGGACCTCCTTCTTTTGAAATGCTGCTCCCCCTCACCCAATAACTAGGCACTTCCTGAAAACCTATATTTTCACCCAGGCCTTTCCAGTATGAATGAGATAGAAGCAGTTTTTCCCCCTTCCATCAACTTTGAATGTGCATATTTTATCTTAACTGTTTTAAGTTATTGTTTTTCTTATTTTTTAGTATATTGTAAACTACTGAGATGTTTTGGGGGAAGCATTATCTAAATCTGTTAATATATAAATAAAAGAGTTATATGAAAAACTGCTCAAGAACTTCCCTGTAATCTTAACATGGATCTCTCAAAAAATGAAATGGGTTTCCTGAAAGGAAACATTTACAAGGCTCTATTAAAAAGAAACTAGTTGAAGCAATTACAAAACAAACAATTAGAGCAATGTAATATTTAAATATTGAATAAAAGCTTACGTGCATACCTAGCCTATATAGTATTAATCCTCTGTTATAATAAGGAATTTCAAAATCCGGCTGAGCTTCTATAGCTGATGTATAATCATCCATAGCTTCATAGAATTCAACTCTCAAATACTTAATTTGTCCTCTGTTGTTAAGTGCTGTTGCCAGATCACAGCAAAGATGTTTGCTAAAAGGAAAAAGAGAGAAAAAAGACGCTTTATTATAATTTCTTCATTTACAAATGTTTGTGTTACTAGAGTAAGCATATTATAATACAGAATGTTCATGGAGATAAAATGAAATAATGTCCTGAGGGTGTCTCAGGACAACACGTGCAACTCTTAGTGGGATTTGGAATTGCAAGACAGCCTCTATATTAGGAATCCTAGCTTGTGTAGAATAGCACAAGCATGCTTGGGATAAAACTGGGCTTTGGTTGTATGTGTGGCATCCTGGCCAAAATGTGCTGACACTGACAGATATTGTCCCTACCAGTAGCATGTTGCATATAGCACAATACAACCACCGCCATTACCTAGTCTACTCTTTACCTTACCAAAAAGCTTTGTATGAAAGCCTCGATTGACCAAAATCATGAGGAGTGACAGGGGTTCCTCTGTATGAACCCATTGGGTAATGATCGTGGCATTAACTAGATTCAACCATGTATCTTTTTTTTAATCTCTTGCTTTTATTTTCTTCGGCTATTTCTTATTCCTTTTCTGCATTTTACATTAACATTAGTTACCCCAAAAGAGAACAGTATGCTGTGTTGAAGTCAAGCAAGTTATAAGCATTATGTTAATTACCTTTTATTTTACACACACACACACACACACATAGGTTAAGAGAGACAGTTTGGTGTAGTGGTGAAGGTGCTGGTCTAGAAACTAGGAGTCAGTGAATTCTAGGCCTCCCTTAGGCATGACAGTTGGCTGGGTGTCAGTTGGTCAGTGGAAGAGCCAGTTACTTTTTCTCAGACCAACCCACCTAACAGGGTTGTTGTTGTGGGGTAAAATAGGAGGCAGGAGTATTAGGTATGTTCACTACCTTGAATTTATATATATATATATATTGTGTGTGTGTGTGTGTGTGTAAAATAAAAGGCAATCAATCCAAAGAATGAATATGAGTATGTGTGTGCATGTGTTATTTGGATATATATTATTTGGAGATAAAAATATGAACAAGTTGTAAGTATCTAGCTTACAGCAGTCAGCCTGCCAGTCCAGGAATTTCTTTCCCAATAAGGCTGGTCAAGTGGAGATTTGAATTTGCCAGAAAACTTAAGTAATCAAATTGTAATTGTGACAATGTCACAGGCCGTGAAAAGTTTATCAAAACCTGGGACAGAAAAAGTTTAAATCCAAGTTTAGACTTTGGAAAGGGTCGAAATTTGTCAATCCATTTTCATAAATGCAATCCAGATTCTTTAATTTGCAGCAGGAGCCTCGCATACAGAAATAGGAGAGGGAAAAAAAATGAATGCCAAGTTTGGTATTCAGTTCTATCCTATTTCAGTACCTGAGGCGGCTGCTGAACTTCAAAGCTACAAATGAGATCCCCAAAATCTCCTACAGTTTTCTTCCTGAAACTAACATAAGGGTCAGTATACAGTATGGGATGTTTTTATCTTTTATGTATAACTGAGTATTATTAATTTAAAAGGCCTTCCGGGGTTAGGGTTGCTCGAAAGGAAAGTTAGCACTCGAGAAAGTAAATCGATTTTGTTACTCTGAAAGGGTGCTGCCAGAGGACTTCTGGTTTCGGGCTACGCTGCCCTCACGCCGCGCTCCTCCTCCAAGTCCTGAGCCAGCCAAGAGGGCGCTGGGGAGGACTGGTGGGGACGCGACCCAACTGGGGCAGGGCAGCGGTTGAGAGGCTGCAAAGCATCACCTGAGCACCTCTGGGCTGCCTCTGGGCTCTGCGCCCTGCCCTCCCCCGCTCCAACGGGGGATTGCCCTTCCAGGGTGCGAAAGCTCACGCCGCTCTCTTCGCTTTTTAAAACAGAGTTTTGCTTCCTCAGCTCCCCCTTTATAAATGCCCCTCCTATTCTGACCAAGGACCAGGCTCCAATTATCCTACTTCGGGCACATTACAGTACGCGAAGACCCAGCTCTCTGGAGAAGGCTCTAATGCTGGGAAAGGTAGAAGGAAAGAGCAGAGGGCGACCAGCAGCAAGGTGGATGGACTCAGTTACAGTGGCGATGAGCACGACGCTGGGAACTTGGAAGAACAGGTCAGAGGGAGATTGCCATTACGAAATTCTGTCCACAGGGTCGCTAGGAGTCGAAAACGACGCCTAGTCAATCAATCATTCTGACAAGCAGAAGAGCTCAAAGCAACTCGGTGAGGACGCGCCGGCGCCCCGCCCCCGCGCCCTCATTGGCTCAGACTACGACCCCGCAGCCGCATTCCGTCCCCGGCACGGAGTCACCTCATGCCGGAGCATGCGCAGTGATTGATGTACTGGCTGTAGAGCTCTTCCGCTCTCGCGTGCTGCCGTCCTTCGAACTGCGCGTGGGCTGCAGCCAGCAGGTCCCCGGCGGCTCCGATTCTCGAGTCTCGAGCCATGCTTCTTCCTGGACGGCGACCGGGAAGCGCAGCGATCTCGCACGTGTGCCTCCGCTGCCGTCACTAGCAAAATCTAACGTGGGAGTAGACAGCTGGCTTGCACGCCCATTTGCCGGGAAGACACGTGACGACCGCAAGCTCCGGTCGGTAGATTTATTCAGAGGAACGCTTCCGAGCTTCTCAGGTGAACGGGCGGGTTGGAAGCGAGAAAACCTAGACGCCTCCGCACAAGCCCGAGGCCTCTTGCGAGCAGTAGCCTGTGCATGTGGGCTGTTTGTGTGTGGAGGAAAACCAAACCAACGGCGGGCTGAGAAGGTCGTGATTTGGGGAGAAAAACAGATTGAATATCTAAATAGATTTTATTAAGCACTCACGCTACTCACTTTGCTGATGGTGTGTGAGTTGTGGTTCGCCTACTTCGGAGAAATGTTAACCGCCTTTTTCTCTGTCAAGAAGGTTGAGACCAAAAGCTCTTGCCTGCCGCCCGTTTTCCTGAAAAGAATTTGGGAACGACTTTGGTTTGCCAGGAAAGGGTTAAGCATTCTGCTTGTGATAGACTTCACACAGTATTGGCCGTGTTCACACAATATGCTTAACGCTAACTCTAGATTACAAAACATAATATGCAAAAATGTCGGTTTATTTGCTTTTTCACTGTATTAACAAATGATATCTTCAGAGCTGTTGCCATTTAAAGTGTAAAAAGGATAATGAATAAAATGCAAAGAACTGTTATGACATTTGTATAAAAAGCACACTTATTTCATTATTCATGACTTCTGCATTTGCTTATCAAAACCTTTCAGACCTTTCTGCCTGGAAGACTTCCTGAAGAGATTTATCCAGTCTAATGTCCTCTAAATATTTTAGATAACTTGAATAATCTCTGATGATTGGCTATACAGGATGGGCTAAGTCCATTAAATTGCTTAACCTTTTTATTTTTACAAAATAAAAAACTAATATTAATACAGAGGTAGTGAGAAAAATAACCCAAGACAGAACAAAGCATTTTTTAAAGATAAAAGAGTAAAATTTCTCGAGTCAAGTTCAATTCCTGGTAACTTCTTGGATACATCCTTGCAGATTTCTTGGCAGCAATACAGGAGTGGTTTGCCATTACCTTCTATGATATTTTTTGACTTCTCAGCCTAGTCTACAGCCTGAAAATTCCCTTAAGATATTCCCACTCTACTTAGCTTCCACGTCTAAACAAGCTCAACCTGACGCTGCTGTCAACTGACACATGCACAAAAAAAGGAATATTAATTGAACTATGCAAACATACATGCTTACATGTTATGATGAGAAGAAATGTTTTACAAACGTAAGTATCCATATTTACTATTTATATACAAAATTAATTGTGTACAGGTGAAACTCGAAAAATTAGAATATCGTGCAAATGTTCAT